TTTTCATCCTTTCCTTCTCTCTGCCTCCCTCCATTGCACTAGTTCATATAGCAGATGGCAGGTAGCCTGCAGCCTTTCCTCCAGCCCAAGGGCATCCTAGCTAGCCTGGATTTTCAAAGCGTGCCAGTGCTAGGGATCTGTGGTGGCATCTGCTTTGACACTCTCTGAACAGACCCTTAGAACTGCTTTGCCAGGAAGAAAGATTGCTTGGCCTTGCCCACCTCATTTTATGTAAGCCCTCTATCTGGCCCTGTACAGATTGATGATCTCACTCTTGGGATGTTGCTTATATTTGTATAGCTCTCTACCATTTAAGGCAGAGCCTTGGTGGCTGCCATGGGAGCTGGGAGTAATTACAGCATTCTGTGGAGCTCTGGCACCCTCATCACATTCTGGTCTTCTTCCACAGAACTGCCTTTGATCTAACTCTTTGTTGGAAAGGTAACCATTAAGATGTCTATCTTCAGTTTCATTTACATGGAAGATACAAGTACTAAGCTGGCAATAGACATTTTCTTGTTCTCAGACCTGGCTTCCTCCTAGATGGCACATGGGCTTCTAGAAACTGAGGCTTCAACTCCTGGCCTATTTTCCAATGGTGCCACTTGGAAGGCCATGTGCTGAAGGTGAACTTGGCTCTGCAATGTACATGTGCCCTTCCAAGGTCTATCAGAGACTCTGGCAGTCCTTGAAGTACTGATTATTATTTTATGATTATTTATTTTTATTCTATTATACAACAAATAAGTGAAGGTTAATGAAAATTCAGAAAGCAAGATAGAGTTATTTATATCCCCATTATACTAGAACAGTGAGGACAGGAACACATTTTCTTCTATTATTATTCATAGTGGTTTTGTGTCGAAAATACTTGCTTCATGCAAGCTGATGTCTTACTGTTTCCTCTTAATTATTTTCACGTTGGTCAGCAGACACAAGGTTTTGAATATGCTGAAGTATTCTACCACTGATCTATAATAGCTCCTGCCCTTCTTCAGTATAGGTTCAGTGGCTGAGCAGTGCACCATCAAGTAACAAGTCTAAATCAAATGTAATCGAATCTCGTTAGATATTTACATCTTTTTTCTGAGTTACACTGTGATAATTGCTTTTATTTACCTAGCTTCTACTCCTACCTTCACAGTTATTTTTGTCTAATTTATCTGAAATGAATGCACAAGGGCAAACTGTTGAGGCATTTCATGCTTTTGACATCTATTACCATGTTTGCAAATTTATTTTCTAAAAGGGTGACCAATAATGACACATTAAGACTAAGTTCCAGGGATTTATTATTTTAGTCAAAATTTAGATGCAGAAGGTCATCTCATTCTATTTTCAGCCTCCCCCTTTCGCTTTGATTGCTTCTGAGGTGAGGTGCTTTTCCTCTTGCTATAAACAGTTGATCACAGTCCTCCTTGTAACCTCACAAGGGTTTCCAGAAGTTTCTGATGTCCAGTAGAGGTATAAGAACGTATGAATTTTGGGACAAGATCCTGCCAGGAGACTCTGAGACTCAGGCCTTCTTCATGTCAGAGAAAGTAACTATTAGTTTTCACATGTGGAAACTGAGAAAATAGCGCCATGAAGCCCTTGTCTAGCTTTGACTCCTAGGAGTGTATCTATAATGAGTATAGGGGTTCAATCAGAAGTTGTTCCTGATGTCTTTTTTCAGGCATTTTTTTTGGAGCATCTGTATTTGTCTTTGACTGTTCTGAACCATTTTCTCAACACCCTTAGGAGGATGTGGAGGTATTGACATGGTGAGCCATTCTTGGGTCAACTTCTTTCATGATCTCTTACTCCTACTACAGAGAATCCCCAACATATCTCCATGTAAATGTTGTGGGCTCTTACAACGCACAGGTGGTTTGACCCGTGTGACAAAGCTGTCAGCTGCCTGGCTGCAGGAGTAAGCTCATGACCTTCTAGGAAAACAGGTGCTTGCCTGGAGCTAAGAGGAGCACCCTCCTGACCATTCACCAACTAGACCTGTGCACCTGGAATGCACGAGAGAGTGGGACACACACCTGGAGGGAGGGAGGGAGGGAGATGGAAAACTGCGGGTGAGTCCATGCACACGGGCTCTGAGGTTCTTGGTTGCTATAGTTCTCTTTAGTTCTGTATCCCACTGCAGTACCTATCCCAGGAATACAATCCAATCCATTCCTTCTTGTGAGTTTGTTTAGTTTGTCTGGACTCTCTAAACCCTTGTAAAATCTTCACTAAATATCAGCTGTGAATGCTTTTCCTAACTGGTGCCCTCCCACACTCATATCTAATTTTTGAACCTAAGTTTTAATTTTGAAATCATATAGATTTACATATTGCAAAAACAAAGGTCCCACATACTCTTCATTGGGGGTTCCTTAAGTAGTGTCATATTATTGAATTTTCATATCAAAGTGAGGTAGATGATACAGCATACACACCCTTGTTTTAGTCGTGTCGGCTTCTATGTCTGCAGGGGCCCCTGAGAACCTGAGCGCTATGCTCAGAAGAGTTAGAGTCTACTTAGAGCAGAAGTATGGAGTAATGACGCTCAGGTGAACAACGGACTGCCGCTTCACCCACTGTCCACTGCGCTCCAGTCCACTAAACACCTGACCTTTGTCTCTTCGCACCCGAAGTCTTGAAATAGCACTGTAACAGCAGCACTGTTTGTGCCATCTTCCCCGTGGCACAGTGAAGGAAACTGAGCCATGAGTAAGTAAAGCAACTGATGTAAAGTCACAGTGTCATTAGGAGGTGGAGCTGGAGTTTAAACACAGGCAGTCTGTCAGAGCCCCTCTGCTATGTGGCAGGACTAATGGCAGATCCGTGGAATGTTGACTCAAACTTTTCTACATCTTTGACCAATCTCCTCTCTCTTTCTCTGTCTCTGTCTCTGTCCCTCCCCCCTTCTCTCTCTCTCTCTCTCTGTCTCTTTCTCTCTCTCTCTCTCTCTCTCTCTCTCTCTC